TTGCATTTCTCCTACCATTTCGTTCATATCAAAATCTTCATCATTTGTTGAGCAAAACAGGTGATCGACATCTGCATAACGAGGATTAGCCACGATCGGCTCCAAGAGTACTGCGCTAAAACATTATCACTAACTTTGTCCACACACAGTAACATAGTAGAGGGTTCTGATTAAGGGACATCAATAAACAACTTGAAGAGGTCGGCTCAAGTACAGCAAGTAGGGATCATGAGCCAACATGTACAGAGTACACATGAGCTGACGGATCCCGCACAATGGGAACAGGGACGTGTTATGGGCATGGACCTGGTCGACGGATGCCTTGAACCTCTCTCCTTTAATCGCCTCAGTTTGATGCTTCTGCCTGCGCTCTCTCGCGGATCCCTTCCCTCTCCAAGGCTTAGTCCCAGGGCTTCACCCGTTCTCTAATCGTCTGTGCTCTCCGCCATTCGTGGCAGGACCATAGAGGAAAATTCAAGTAGTCCGTAAACCCATGGACCTGCCGGGGCAAAAACTCCTCATAGGAAACCGAAACAGTCCAGTGAGACTAGATGCAAGGTTGATTAGTGGGATGAGGCTTGAGACGGAGTGAGCCCACCCTCAGTAGTAGAGCGCTCTGGTGCTTCTCTAATAAGAGCAATAGATTAGTTCCAATACAGCTCAAAAACTATAAAAAAAATTGTGGATGCGCAAGGTCTAAAATGTGCTATGCTGAATGAAGCAGAACTCTAAACACTATGGGTGCAGTGAGTCCTTGGCTGGGCGGTGTTTACTACAGAAATTCACAACTCTGCTCCAACTCTCCCACTCCCTGTTCTATAGCTTGTGATAAGGATGGCCTAGCTAAGAGAGAGGGGTCAAATGATAATAGTAGGAAGAGCTCGCACCAGAATGTTTCAGGATGAAGTCAAAAAACGGATGTCCTGCTCTATATCCTTGGGATACCCCGAGCATAAATCCGAGAAAAACAGACAGCCACTAACCACAGTCTCATTGGCCAGCCAATTCTGCAACTTGCTCGATGTCAGAGCATAGTAGACTATGCATTTCACATAAAGAGTGACGAGAAGACGTCTCAATTCATGAACTTGCAGTAGATTAACAGCTGAGTTGTCAGTAATTGAATAACCATCAATTATGTACTTTCCAGTAACAACCTGGAACACTTTGAATAACTCGGTACTAAGGAAAAGCTAACAAAATCATAATAGAAAAACTAATGCAAAAAAAATCTGGGAAAAATATACTACCTCCCAGGCTAGCCAGCGCAGACTCCACGCAGTGTTAAGGCGACAAGAAACCCGGCAGATATCCTGGAGCACAGCAGCAACAGCCCGTTCCTTTGTCTGGTCGTCAGATATTGCTTCCACCTTGGAAAATACAAAGCTTTAATAACGCAAACCAAATGAAGGATCAAGATCCTTCAAACATTGTCAAGCTCTAGTGTACTGCAAAAGCTTAGGGTGGGCGGGTTAGAAAAAAATATAATAAAAGTGTCGCACCTCTCTTTGATGGCAATATGTACCACGAAATTCGAGACCACGCAATTGGAACGTTACAAAACCGTTCCCCACTTCGATTATGTGAACAAGGCAGTTCAAATAGAAACTGAAAAAGCTCGACTTATAGCCACAGAAACATTGGCGCGCAAAATAAAATAAAAAAAACTTGTTCTTAGCGCTGTATGGGCTGGGGTTGAATGCTTTAAAATTCAGTCGCTATGCACTTTGACCTACTGCTTTATGAATGCTTCGCTTGTTCAATATTGAAGCAATTGCAACCTCTGCACCTTCACATTCTGAGACTGCACAAAATTAAACGGATCAATGAGCTCAAACAAGATTCAATACTTGATTAGCCATGTGAAAACCAGTGGCAGAACGTAAAAAGTAGTTAAAGGTAACGTTTCCAGATTTTCGCAGACAATGGAAAGATTGATCTCAGCAGTTCGTGCTATAATGACAAAAAATGACACTAGACATCGAGTGCCAATGTCCCAGAAAATTTAACTACTGTATTAGAAAAGAGTTCCAATTAGGCGACTAAGAGAACGGAGAAAAAAACTGATCACTCAGAAAAATACTGGGCTGTGACCCATCATGAAGCGCCATTTCTCACACGGTAAAAAATGTAGCCCAGAATGCATAAGTTGTCGTTAAGCGTCTGCAAAATGAGGTGGAGCATTCGGAAATCCGCCTATCTCAACCCGAAAGCTACAGGGATTCCAGTTTGTGCGCTGAACCAAGCGATTAACACCATATGCAATCAAAACCTGCGAACCTGGCAAGAATGAAGCAGTCACCCGGCTGGACACTTGTCGCCCACCGACCCATCTGAAGATCTCCAGCTAAGCTTTTTTGAAGGCTTCTAAAAGATAACTCGCGTATTGACTATTGGTACAGCGGCCTTCGAGAGGACCTTCGAATCCTACCTCGTTAAATGTTCGTAGAAGACAGCGTTAAGGTTGCTGTCATCCATCATTGGCCCACGATCAATTTGTGAAGCTATAAAATAGGTACAAATGTAAAGGAAGAAAATTTCAGGCAAGATAGAATGAAAAGAGCACAGGATAATTCGTAAAAACTTACTATAAAAAAGATAAAAAGGATCGCTATAAACATTACAAATAATAATAATTGATAACAAACATAAACAACAAACAGAACGTTCAATCATCATACCGAGAGTGGTGTTCGACGCATCGCTTCGCTTTCGTATTGTAATCCCGCTCCCAGAATTTCACAGGTCGAACATAAGAGGTTGTAAAAAATGAGGAACCTTAAAGTTACAAAATTTGCAATCATTGAGGTGAATTTGAGTGAAGGAATTTCAATTACCTAGAAAAGGATTGAGCGGGGCACTTATAAGGCTGGACACAACTGTCTGGGTCCATATTAACGCGGAGTGGGGTATAGAAAATGGCTGAAATCAATGGTAAATTTATCCGATTTTTTTGTCACAGTGTTACAGTAATACATACCTGAGCAAAAGCATGGAACGCCGATCCCCAGCTTATCT